AACCAGGCTTAACTTTTAATACCTCTTTCATCCACTTTAATACATCTTTCCCCCACTGATGTTCACTTGTTTTGTAATCTCATAGAACGGGAGTGGTAGGCTAAAAATCAGAACAAGAAATGTCATAGGCATACATTGCAGACAAAAAGGGGCCCCTAATTCTTTTTAGGTGGCAATCTGTCTGAGCTAGATTTTGTAGATGGTACTGTTACAGGAAAACCCAGACTGAGATCAGAGACACAAAACTTCTGTAAAGAACTTTAAATCTCAAAGATTCAGAAACCTATTGGAATATTTTTTCTTCCCTCAGGCTTCAAGAGACTTATGAGTGTTTGAAGCCAAGCAAAATTCATATTTAGCACTGAACAAAACAAAACAGTTATTTCAACCAAGCTATGTCTTGGCATTGGTTGTACCCCAAGCTCTCAGCAGCAATGCTGAGTGTCATGCCATAGCTATTGAAACAATCCTGTCACTAATGGAAATCTCTGTGAGCTGACACATTTACATTTTCTTCAGCTCCACCTGAGACTTTTATCTACAGCAGCATTTCTTTTCTTAAAACTACCCCCTCAGTCAATTTTGATTTCAGCATCTTACCTCAGCTACTCACCCTTGACTTCCTTTACAGTCACTAGAGACTAACAGGCACTTCCAAGGTGCAGTTCAGCCTGGTTTAGATGCTTAGGCTGAGGTCGATCATACCCAAGACTTGTTCTTAATACATAAAGAGCCAAACTCAGAGGCAGAAGCCCACACTGTGAAAATTTGTATCAGATGAATCCTGCTCCATTTGATTATCAAGCAAGTCTTCATAGTTGGAAGAATTTCAAGGTGATATAACATGTTTTGGTGCATAATCGACCACTTCTGAAAATCTCTCCTTCCTTACAAGTCTAAAGGAAATATTGATGGGGTTTTAACACTGTGCAAAGCAGTTGGTTTACTTCTTTATAATTAATCAGATCTGAATTATTAGCAAAGCAAATTTCTAACTATTTAAATCCAAATATAACTGATCATCAGAAAACTTCTCTACATTCCTATAACGACCTTGACTTCCTAAAATTGTCATGAAAATTATAGTGGCCTTTAAAAGCAAGAATTAATGCAAAGCAAACCCCGGTGCTTTTTAAGACAGAGGCCAAGGGCAACCTCAATAAAAACAAAGTTAAGATTCAACTGGCTACCACAGGCTGTGGTTTAGTTTCAGCCATCAGATGAGAAGAAAGGGCAAGAGCTTGCTTATTTAGTCTGCCCATTGGTTTAATCATCAACATGACAAATTATGCAAAGGAGGCTAGTTTATTCTCATATAGATGCAGGATGGCAGAGTTTATCTGAGATGTTTTGGTCTTGAAGGGAAGGATAGGAGGGACAGAAAGGTTACACGTCCTGACTACATAACCACCTCTCTGGTTGGTTAATGGAGCAGCAGAAGCGCTTGGCACAGAGGCAGTGGTGAGCTTCACATTCTCAGCTGGAGGAGCAGCCCACAGTCACTGCCATCATGGAGCACAATACCTTATTAAAGGAATAAAGACAAAACTGTACTTGATTTCCAGAATGGAGAGGCAGGAAATTCTCCTGACCCTGTCAAGGCTTTACTGATCATAATGGGTCTGCCACAGAGAAAAGCTCTGCTTGAACAGCAGAGAGGTGCTGCTCCTGAGGGATGAGTTCAAAAACACCAGCTCAGAAACATTAATGAAAACATTTCCCGCTGTTTCTTCATTAGAGTTTAAAGAAACAGCATACTCCAAAGCACACTGGCAAAAATCTGTACACTTAAACCATCAAATACACATATGCTCATTTCTATAAAATATTTACTGAGAGTTTCTTGGAGAATGGATGAATTTGTTAAGATTTAACCAGTTTCTGCAGTGAGTAGACCCCATAAACAGGGATTAATGTTTATTTCGTATTTCTAATCACCTGAAAGATTGTACAAATGAAAAAAATTATGTTAATCACCAAGGAAAATCACCAGTGAAGTAATACATCTTTTGATAGATACTAATTGTATTTTTCTCCGTCACGGAATTTACAAAGTTCTCATGAATCAAGGATTAATTCAAAGGTTTTTATTTATCTTTTGCTGTGAATGGATCCCTTCTCAGAGGAGAGTGAATTAATTTATTCTGTGTCAGCTTTATGCTCGAAAATGAAAATCCTTCATGAAAGAGCTGGCAACCTCTGCCAGAGGAATCCAGAGTGAAACATTCCATTGTTTAGGCTGTTAGATCGTAATGAGTTCTGCATCTAAGCACTTGTCATATTTTTTTTTCCATCTGATCCCGCAGAAGCATAGCAGTTCATGCACTTAAACGTATGAGACTTGTTTGGGAGGAAGATTGTATTAGAGGAAGAGGCAGCATGTTCCATAGTTTTAGTATAACATCTGTTATTATCATTCAGTATGCTCTTAGCCCAGCATGCCCTTCCTCTAAATATCTTATTAATTAAACTGGCTTAGTAGGAAAATAATTAATACTCTTATGTCCTGTACCTACTTAGAGAGATTTTAGAAACTGGAAAAATGTTTTTGTCTGAGCTACAAAGTGTAGGGTTGTGGGTTTTTTTCATTCTTAATCAGAAGCAAATCACAACTAAAAGGGAGTATCTGAAAAGCCTGCGCATAGACAGTGTCCAAAAAAATACATATTCTGTGTTCAAAATTCTGCTAGGCTGCAAAACTAGTACATGACTTTGAGAAGTCTTGGTCAATACTTAAGCGTCTTCTTCCCCAGCAACTGTTTTGGGAGAGGCACTTCTGCACTTCTTCAGAAGGTCCTGCTGGTCCTCTTTAGCACTTGGTCCTCCAGAAGCCTCAACTCCAGCTCACAAAATTGCTACTACTTTAATAATGTGGTGGGACTTCCTGGCCTTGAAGTCAGTAGTAATGCTGCTGCCTTGCACAGGCAGCTGTTGACAAAGCAGGAGGGTGAGACGGTGAACCCAGGTGGGCACCAGTGAATTTGTGTGTAAAATGTGGATCTGTAATTTAGCTATACATGGTAAAAGTACAGCAAGAGCAGTATTTTCATTTTGTGAACATAGCCACTGTCTATATACAGAAACTGCTGTTTTGCTGCTGTTTCACCCAACTTTGTTTCCCACTGAAGGACAAGCTCAGACACACTGGGTGTTATTTGCTGCTTACACTAACAGAAAATGTCACTTTTTCAGGCCTATTGGAAAAGATGTTGGGTTCTGCCAAATTGCTCTTTGTAGTCAGGCAGGGGTTTAACAATCTCTTCAGTGGGAGAAGGCTTGGGAGTTAGGTCTAGCTTGGCTGGGCTTTTTTTGGAAGGTCTGAGGGCAGCTGTTCTTAAGGAGAAAGAGGAAGAAGCTTGGAATACTGTACTAGAACAAGGTGCCTTCAGCACAGGGAAAAGGCAATTTGCAGAGAAGTCTACAACATGACTCCAGAGTTTGATTGTTGGGCATTTCTTTTCAAAAGCTTATTAGAAACATGGAAATTGAAGCATCATTGAAAGTCAGTGATGTCCCTATAGAGCTTCTTCTAATGGGGCTAAGGCACTCTGGAAAATGCTGTGGATGTTATGTTAACAGCCTCCGAAATAAAAGTGTACCATGTGGCTGGCTAATAAGTATGGGGTCTTCTGCCTCAGCAAAGGGTCCTGACATTAATTCTGATCAATGCTGAAGTTTATAGGGTGTGTCAGGGAATACTAGGCTTTTTATTAGCTACTCACTGTACCTACTGGCCATCTCTGTCTTGAATAATACATCATCAAAACTGATTTTAAAAGTGGGAAACCTAAATTTATCCTATGGAAAAGAGTGAAGCAGAGCTGTTCCTGTTCATACTAAGCCGTAAATATCTGACAACAAGTAAGTTGCAGTGAGTGCGGTATGTCACTATAAGCACAGCTAATTTGCCAAGTATACATGCCCCTGCGGGAACAGCCAACATGCAGCAATGCCAGGAAAGGTTATACCCTCATGTTTTTAGGGATGGAGAGAGTGTTTCAAAGCTTCTTTTGCTTTAAATCTGCCTTGGGCAGACTGGCGATGCTAAGTCCCGGTTCATTTGTGTGTGCATACATCTGTGCTGGGTCTGATAGGGGAGCATATGGCAGAAGCAATTTGCCCTTGACTGTGCCTCTCTTTTGGCAGGCACAGGCTTGTTGCTTGTTTCTCGCAAAGCACATGCAGTTGCAGCCAGTCCTGCACATAACTTCTTGTGCCCCTTGCTTGATGGGTTTCAGGTCTTTGCCTTAATGCATGTCCTTTGTGGTGTTTTGGTTAATTGGACATTGTTTTAATTACTGCTGACCTAAATAAACATGAAATTTCTATCTGTCATTTTGTCGCCCCAGTGACCACAGTCTCCAAGCAGCCAATACAGGACTTGGGATTTTCATACCTGTTATAAATTGCAGTGGCTCTCATGGAGTTTCCCTCATTTACACATTCTTAGGGAAAACACTCCTCCAGGGAGGAGAAGGCTCCATTTAACAGTTTTGGGGTTTTTTTTTCACTGTTCTAAGCACCTTGATCTTCTCTGACTGGAATTAGTGGCAAACAAGTGTGGTTTCAAGGCAGCAGATGGGCCAGTCCTCTTCAGTGACCTGGGGACAGCCAATGGCCACGTCTTCCATTAGTGTGAACCTTTGTATTGCATCTTTTCTTACCTTTCCCTCTCCAGCTTCTGAACTAATTGGCTTTTTCTCCTTTTGCTGTCTCTAATTCTTCCCAGAAATGCTTGGGTCACGTGCCAAAATTAAGCAATGGGAGTGTAGACATGCCCTCAGATCAGTCAGTCTGTAGCCATTTCTGTCAATAACAGCCATGCTACAGCTGCAGGCAGATTCTCTGGACTGCCAGTAGTCTTTATTTTCAGATGCTAATTTGCCACTGACTTGAAAAGGAGAAAAAGCATTTTTCAAATACCTTAAAAGGCATAGAGCCTTTTAAAATGGCCATTTCCCTTCTTTTCTATTTATATGACCCTTCTCCTTTGCTTACAGCTTTAGAAAGAAAAATGTCAATGAGGCAAAGCAGAGAGGAGCTTATAAAACGAGGAGTGCTGAAAGAAATTTTTGATAAAGGTAAGTGTTCCTTTCACAGCATTAAATCAGATCCCATATGGTTTTATAGTCAGATATTAATTATTGTAGCATTAGGAACTGGAGATACCGTCCTGAATTGCAGGACTGTGCAGAATAAGGTCCCTATTTTTTTCAAATCTCTTTTGATTTCACTGTGGTCTAGCCCTCTCCGCTGGATACGTGTGATAGTTACCTAGCAAATAAACCTGAAAACAAATCAGAAATATAAAGCAATGGTTGATAGTCACTCAAGGCAAAACAGTGAGGCAACCAGACTGCAGGGAGATGGAGTGGGTCTGTGCTTGCATATGTTACAATTGTCTTGTTGAGTTACCCTGGGATTAACTACTGTGGAAAAAGGAAGCATTTAAAGGTTTTGGATCCTTATGAGCCCAGAATAATGCACGTTCCCTTGACAGATCAGAAGACATAATAATGATAATTCCTTGTTCAGAATAATTAATTTGTTGAGTTGGTAATGTATTATTTATGCAAAGCTCCATTGTTTTGCAAACACCATTGTTATACACTGCTAATGCAACATGTATTTGACATCTATTGCGTATGTGTCAGCCTTTAACTGTAGCTTTTATTTGTTTTGCTTCTTCCTTTGTCAATAACTAAGGCAATTAATTCAGCAAATTATATAAAGACATGCCAGAGTTGCCTCTTAATTTAAGTAGAACTTACACTTATACTCTAAAACCTCATTAATCCAAAGTCTAAAAGTCTTTAACAATATGTGTACAAAACCTGTTGGAAGTCAATAGAAGTTTTAAAATTTCACAAGTTTTAGGAGAAGGGAATACTTCATAAAGTCTGGAACATTTAAATCTGCTACCTACTTTTTTAGTCTAGCTTATTGAGAATTTTAAAATTTAGTAACCCAAACCATTTATTGTTTTTAGTGGAAAAAAAACCCACGAGCCTTTGAAAAACCAGAGAAATGTGCTACTTGACATTACATTTTACATTTTTTACCCATTATATATTTTAACTGTTTCTAATTGTTTAGATCTAACATTGTCTGTACTCTCACTATGACCTGCTGTCTTGGAAGTCATCCTAGAGGCAACTTCACAGTAGAGACAACTCCTGGCAAATTGTTTGCCCTTCTCACTGCTTTGGATTGTCAGTGTTCTGGAGTGTCATGCAGACTGGATACGCAACCATAACGCAGGCATCCGCATGGCCATTGAGCTGTGCTCCAGGGTGTCACACTGTGTTCCAGCCCCAGTAAGGGGCACCCTGTTCAGTGCCATGACCAGCTCAGAAGTCAGCCTTCATTCATCACACCTCAATCCAGGGTGCAACCTCCTTCATCCCTGCCTCACATCCCACACATAGCTGCTTTAATACACCTAAAGGCATCCCCAGGAAAAATCTTTCCTGCGCAGCCTTACCCTGCCTTCCATGTTGAAACTTGGGGAAATTTTGCCTGCTTCACTACTGAAGCTCTACAGCTTTCTCCATTCATAAAATAATGCTGCAGTTTGTAGTCTATGTCATCTTGTGAAGCAGATGATAAGCTGTCTGGGGGTCCTCATCTGAAAAAAGAAATTAATTCCTCTTTATAGTCAATTTTCATCTTTTCATATCAGAAAAAGATGGAGTGAAACACATGCTGTTTCTTCCTATTTCCAATGCAAAAAGCAGAGACATCAGACTTTTTCAATGTCAGGTGCCACTAAAAGGGAAATTACAATGCAAAACGGCTGGACTTCTTATTCAGTATCCTACGTTATTTCCTGCTGGTTGCAAATACGGGAAGCTAAGAATTGGTACCCCTCCTTGAAAGAAAGAGGTAGGGCAGGCAAGAATAGTAGCAGTGATTGAGTAGCTTTGATCATAAAAAGATATGAGTAAGATGTGTAGAGCAAAAGGAATATTTCCTTCAGTGGTGTAATAATCTGAGAGTAATTCTAATAAAGGATATTATATCTCACTGTGAACCTTAAATGAAAGTAACATTTTGCTTGTAGTTCTTGTTAGGTAATCTCTAATCCTTCAAGAAAACATAGCAGACTTTAACATTTCATAGAAGAAGGCTTTATTTGATGATAGTGGCACTTTGCATGCCAAGAGGCAACTTACACAGACATTAGGTGTAGCAATTATATTAAGTCTCTTTAGCTTCCTAAGAGGTGGAGGACGCAGGCAGAATTAACATGTTAGTGATTTTGCATTTTTCTTTCTTCAAAAAATCCATACAGATAAAAGGAAACTTAATATGGATAGACTGACCCAAGAACAAAATTTCTGGAGCTTGCAGTGTGCTTTGTATTGGTTTTGCCATACCGTCTATGTTGAAGAAAAACAGAATGAGCTAGTTTGCTTCCCTGCTATTTAAAATGACAGTCTGACCTGTTTGCTTCAGGATTTGCTGGCTTTTCAGAGGACCTTGTGTCATCCAGCAGGTGAAAGCAGAGCACAGCAAGTCACAGTGTTCACACATGGGAGAGTCACTGCAGTCCAGCTGCTATATTTGGAAAACAAGAAATGCTTTTATCACTTCAATGACCCCCACACTTTAACTCAAGTCAAGTGAAACCACTCCAAACTGAACTGCAGAGCTCTTTTCTTGGCAAGGGCAAGACTCATGACCAAATCAGTTCCTGTCGTCTTCCATTTCCAGGGTTCTGTGACTTCGGTCTTCTGAAAATACAGGCAAAGGTTGTAATTTTTTCAACTACTGTGTACTTTCAGAAAAACAGTAAGTTGGAATGTCTGATGAGGCACCTGCTGTTCTAATAGTTTGTGGGCAGGCAGTGCTGAAAGGTTAAAAACACAGCTTCCACCTGCAGCGCAGAACATAGCACAGAATTTAGAATAACTCACTTTTTTGCTATATCATTGCTCCTACACGTAGAAAAACAGCTTTGATTTTCACATGAAGGTGTAACCATCCCAGAAGCATCTGTCTTTAGAGCTGCTAAGTGTCATGTGGTGCCAGTCAAAAATTAAATCTGCTTGTAGTACTTTGATAGCTCTTTTTATATCTGAATGTAGATGAGATGGCCTGAGTGAGTATCGGTTGCTTGTTTTACAGATGATGGCACAATGGTTCTTCAAGGAAACATGGGCAGTCTTCATCTTTTACACTTTTGTGTTTTTATATACTCCCTACCTAATTAAAATGATAGATGTAGGCCTAAATTTCAGGTTACCTGAATCCTAACAGGATTTGAACATGTTGCACTTACATGCTAAGGCAAGTTTTGTGTCATGATTATCAGTTTGAAGAACTGGCTTTGGTAATGCAGCAAGGAGGAAGGCACGGCAGCCACTGAAGAGCCAGTTGTGCGGCAGTGAAATCATATGTTGAAAGGTTTTGAACTCCTCCAGAAGCAAGGAGGACATCCCTATGTCAACCTGTCTCAAACTCCATAGGAATCCACAAAATCAGAGTCAGCTTAGAGACTGATCCTAGCTACCATGCTAAGGTAGACACCAAGGCTAGGAGACAGCCCCCTGGACAGGTGTAGACCACAGATACGAATACTCAGTTTTCCATCCCCTAGCCCATAATGGCCACAGCAGAGAAGAACATGAATTTTTCTCTGCCCTTTCTAGCCCTTCTCATCAAGTAGTTTTGCTTGCTTGGACAATCTTACTTGAGAGTAGTCAAGTTCTGAAGGAGACAACCCAAAGTGGATTTTGAATTCTCCAATCCTCATCATTTTGCCCCCAATAGCCATTTGTCTGTGGAAGGAGCTCGTGGGCATGGCACTTTTCAGATATGCAAGAAGTTCCCTACTCCACGGTATTGCGAGTGAAAAGACACATTGAGAGGGTAAGTGGAGCTCTGACATAAAGAACAACAAAAGGACTGGTCTGTGTCAGTCAGCGTGATGCACTGCAGGCTGCTTCACACGAGGCGGTTTTTAAGAAGTACGCAAAAGTGGAAATGGCAAGTGAGTTCAGGAGTACAAACCATGCTTGGGGCCACATGTTTTGAACATATCATCTGTGCATTTCTGGGCCTTCTCCCCATGCTGTTATTTTCACATGTGAAGGTGAATCAAGGAGTCCCCTGCATCAGAGAGTTTCCTCTGAGGTCCTGTTTCTTCAGTGACTTTAGGTGTGCAGAGCCTCCTGTGTAACAGAAGAGCAGCCTTCGTGTACTCCAGGTGCTGCAGAGGTCAAGCTACTCTCTCTGGTGGTGTCCAGATTCACACTCAGCCAGCATTACCTAAACTCATGCATTAGGGGAAGTCGTTCTACATTAAGTAACAGCAGTCTCTGTGGAAACACGGCAAAGGATTTTGCAAGTGTGAGAAGAAAAGATTACATAGGTTATCACTGTGCAAAATTAACTTTAAACTCACAGCTGGTTCCTGAAGACTAATTGATTCGTCCATGTCATAATTGCAGTACCAGGATTCTTTTAATTTTCAAGTCAGCTAACCAGAATAGCTTTTAGTTCTTCGAAAATAATAAGTAATTTGCCTTTTATATCTGGTTGTCAAGCATGTCTCTGATCCAGGATCTATTCACACTATGATATTCTTCACTCTGCAAATTATTTTATCTGCATCTTTGATCTGCTTTCTGTACTTGCGTAGCTTTCCATGTAGCTCTTTTTAAGCAAGATCTGACTTAGGGTGTATATTTCAGTGATGATTCTTTCTGATGATTATGTCTGGTGATTTCATTCAAATCCGAGGACAAGTTTTAGAATCTAAATGAAGTTTAGATATATTCAGAGGTAAGATTAAAAGAGGTCATGCTGTCAGTACAGAGAACTGTCATGCTTGTTACCATGACAAAAAGTAAAAGCCAGAATTTTATCTCACATTTTTCTTTTTCGCAACTGTAAACCATCATTTGAAAGCTGTCTTCTAAATCATGCCTTGAGAAGCACGAAGTGCACTTAAGACAGTAAGATTTTTAAGGTACTCAGTGTGTTACGATAGGCGTCCCACTTCATTAAAAATGTGTAGACATCCTTCCAAAAACTAAATGCTAGTGGTTTTATCATGCATGCTTTTTGCCTGCTCGCAGTTACAGTCACATTTAGTCCTGCTCTGAATTAATGAATATTGCTAGACACAGTCACTGCCTTCTATTCAGGAAGCAGTTGCTCTGCATAAGAAACAGTTATGCTCATTCGTGAAACCAAGTAACTGAGACACAAGCAGCCCCTATCCCAAACGTGTGAAGGTGTGTGTTTATAAAAGGGAGACAGAGCAAGCACAGAATGCATAGCATTTCCACCCAGACACCTAAGTCAAATAATCTTCAGCTTAAATACTGGCTGACCTGTTGCTTGATTTTTGCTGCCTAGAGAAATAAACGGGCTTGTATTGAATGACCACAGCAGTTTGAAGGAGGCTGTGATGCAACCAATTGGCCAAAACCATCAGTTCTGATTAATGTTGCTGCCTTGTAGCCAGCAACATTATTGCTTTGAAAGTCATGGGTCGAGCTTCAGTCTAGTATGATGTGATTGTGTACCATAATAGCTCGCTAGATCTTCAAAAAGCCTCCAACAAAAGCAAAGTCAAGACCTTGGTATTTCTAATAATTCCAAAATAAGCAGAGAACACCTTCACTCGCCGTTGGGAAGCTTTAAAAGGCAGAAACATAATTCTGAATGCTTATCAGCTAACGTACTTTCAGACTTGTTAATTGTGTCATAACACCTAAATGAAACTTCAGCTATTTTACTCTTTTCAGTATTGTTTTTCAAAGTGTTTTTCACATCTTAGCCCTGTTGAGGGGATAGTGTGCACTTGCTTGAATGATACATATCTCTGCTCAGTACATTGAGCAGTCATATGGCTAATCAGAGATGCCCAAAAATCAAGAACCAGGTCCTGAAATCCTGAGTTTGACTTAAAAAAGAATAATAATTTAAATGTATAGAAAAATTTGGCTCCTTTTTTTGCCTACTGGTTGTTAGCCTTACAGGTCACATTCCAGTTATATTTTCAGGCTTCTGCACATAACCATAGGGGCTGAGCTCTTTCCTTTATAAAACTGTAATTGAGATATCCATGTAGTCATTGCCTCCAGGTACCAGAGTGCTGTGCATGACAAGTTCTGAGATAAAAATCACGCGGGTTGACACCATAGAGAATGATCTGATCCCTCACTTGTGTTCTTTGTTATTTCTAATGTGAAGTGGTGTTGGATAGGAAAGAAACTACCTGCTGCTGTTACAGAAAATTTGCTCAGATAAATTAGATGCTATTAATAACTTTAAAAACAGGCCTTCTAAATGAAATCTGCTATATTCCAGTATCAAGACCTTATACAAGGCAGCTATAAAATTTATTCTCTCCCTCACTTAAAATCTTGATGCTAGGAGCTGTTTGTATTTGTGTGTCAAATAGGAACATACTTCTGTGATTTTCTTGTGTCCCTTATAGCATTAAAATTGGTGTAAGGGAAGAGAATAATTCTTGTTATTTTTATTTAATTATTATGAATTATATACTGTGTATGTTAGTATTCTTTAAGAAAAGTCCATAGCTTCTGTTCCAGCACACTCTCATTCCTGACTTCCCACCTTCAACAGAGTCAGGGATAAAACAGATGTTCTGGCCATGGATGGGGCTGCATGGCCCCATGGGTGGAGGTTGGTCAGGGGCTATCTAGTTTAGACCATGGCTCATAATGACCATCCTAGGGTAAGCAAACGATCAACACAGATATTTGGCAGATCTTTCCCAGATCTTAATAACTCCTTAAAGCAAGTAGAATGCTGTCCGACTTCTGTGAAACTTGTAGACAGAGCAAGCGCACATCTCCAGAACTGCTCTGTACAACTTGTATTTTTGAGCTACAAATCATATTGTTTTGATCCTTATCCTTATGTCTTCTGTATTGTGGTGAGCTGGAGACCAGGTACCCACCGAAGCTGCTCTATCACTCTCTCCTCAAGTGGACAGGGGGAGAGGAAATAAGAAAAGGCCCATGGGTTGATATAAGGAGAGGGAGAGATCACTCACCAGTTACCATCATGGGCAAAACAGACTCCAGTTGCAGGAAGAAATCAATTTAATTTATTACTGATCAAATCAGAGTAGGATAATGAGTGATTAAAACTAAAGCTTAAAAACACCTTCCCCCCACCCCTCCCTTCTTACCAGGCTTAACTTTACTCCCAAATTCTCCACCTTCTCCCTCCCAGCAGTGCAGGGACAGGGAACAGGTGTTGCTGTAAGTTCATCACACGTTGTCTCTGCCGCTTCTTCCTCCTCAGGGTACATTCTTCACACTCCTCTCCTGCTCCAGCGTGCAGTCCTCCATGGGCTGTAGGTGGATATGTGCTCCACTGTGGACCTTCATGGCTGCAGGGGGACAGTCTTCACCATGGGCTGAAGTGGGATCTCTGCGCCAGCACCTATACCACCTTGTCCTATTCCTTCATCACTGACCTTGGTGTCTGCAGAGCTGTTTCTCTCACATATTCTCACTCCTCTCTGCAGTGGCAATTGCTGCTGCACAGTAACTTTTCCCCCTCTTAGCTTACATTATCCCTGAGACACTACCACTGTTGCTGGTGGGCTCAGGCCTGGCCAGCACCAGGTCTGTCTTGCAGCCATCTGGCATTGGCGCTGTTGGACATGGGTGAAGCTTCTGGCAGCTTCTCACATAAGCCACCCTTGTATCCCTCCCACTACCAAAACTTTGTAATGCAAACCCAGTATATGAATACATACAAGATCTCAGTTCAGGTTCCTCAATAGCAAGCAAGCTAATGGAGATAGCAAATTTAATTTTTAATTATTTATGCTTATCTTGTTTATGTGCCTTACATTGTCATTCTGTTTTCCTCCAACTATGAACAGATGGGGAACTTTCCATACCAGATGAAGAAGGAGCTTTGGAGAATGGGCAACCTTTGGGCTCGGGGCAAGTTCTGAGCTCCAGCCAGGTATCCCTGCCAGCCCTAGCAGAACTGGAATCAGGTCCAGCACCAGGGGAACCCTGTTCATACGAGGTGCTCCCAACCACAGAGATCATGGATGGGACAGGTAATATCTTGTGTACATTATGATGTAGATAACTGTAAGCTGTTTGTAACAAGCTTTTGACTTCTAACATTTGGTGTCCAGCCCTGAGAAATCCTTGCTGAAGACAAAGGTCTTCTGTGGAAAAGGAGTTGCCAACATGCAGGTTGTCACCGGATGCTTCATGCGAAATTTTGACTGACTTGGTATGGAAGTAACCTCTACTTCTACACAGTAACTTCGTTGTAAGGCACAGTCCCTGTGCTTTCAGTACCTGAATGCCTGAGAATAGATTTCTAACTCTCCAGCTATGTCTTACCTGTGCCAGTGAGTTCTAGAGCAGAGAGCTGACAGCATTTTTAAACCCTAGGGTAAAACATCATGCACTTTAGCTGCTGTGTGGTGTTAGTGATGTTCACAGCATGCATCTTTCAGTAGCTAACACAGCCCTGCCCTAGGTGAGGCTGTATGCATGTCTTCCCTAGCCTGTGTAGAGATACAGCAATGCTATATATGTAGGTTAGTTCCTCTTTCTGCATCACTTAATGCTGAGAGTTGTGGACAAAGGTTGAGCGAGGAAAAGTGACTGGTAGAAATGTTCAGCCATGACCTTGCACAGATATGAAATACAGCAGGCCCCATGAGGTGCTTTTACATTTATAGCGTAAGTTTGGAGACCTCCTGTTAACATAAGTGGTCCTGAGCAAGCTGTGGTGACAGACCATCTGAGATGTGACATTTTAAGGCTCTTGATTTGTGTGAATATGTCCCAGAGGTAATGGGAAATTTGGCTGTTGTGTAGATGTGTGTTCCTCTTTCTCTTTTTCTCTTTCTCTTCCTTTCTGTGTTATATGATGTTTGAGTGAAATCTATTAGTCTTTCTTAACCTGCCTTGCTACGCTGCTTTTCTTGTCTTACAATGGCTGTATCTGCCGCTGCTTTGCTCGTAACGTTGTTGCGTCTATGATGTGGTTGTGTCCTCCAGTGTCTGAAGAGAGCCCCACATCCAATGAATCCAGCGTCCTTCTGTCCCAAGATCCTACAGCTAAGCCAGTCCTGCTACTTCCCCCCAAAAAATCTGCTGCTTTCCCTGGAGACCATGAGGACACCCCAGTGAAACAGTTGTCCCTCCTCAAACAGCCCCCTGCCCTGCCTCCTAAACCTATTGCCAGGATTGCCAGCCACTTAACTGGTAAGTAGGTGTTCCTGGACCCTCAGTACCCCTGTTTCCCTCACAGGAAAAAGCAGCCCTTACAACAAGGTTCTCTATGTCCTTCCTCCTCCTGTAATGCTGTTTGTACCTTGTTGTGTGTACTGGTAATGTATCTATGTTGTACCTAGGGCAGGGATCACGAAGCATCTTCAGACTATAATTTCATCAAGGTTGCTTCAGGGCCCTTCCCCTTTCAGCTGTAATTTACCTAAGACCAGTACTGCATTTCCTAACCCTTCTCACTCCTATTCATCAAGACTTACCATAAACAAAGAAATTGCGGGATGTACTTTGAGGGGAAAGGAAATATCAGGAAAATGCTATGATATCTTTAAATGCCTTTAATGAGAAAAGGGGTGAGAGTTGAGGAGCAAGGGAGAGTTTTGCTTTCTCCCTTTCTTCTTTTGCTTTTTTCTTCTCCCCTTAGCTGCCATCTGGGCAGGTCCTCCTGCACACATCCTGTAGCTTTTCATATATTTGTCTTTCAGTTGGCTCCTGGTCCTTATACAGACTATTCTGTCCCATGGCTTCTTGCCATTTTGCTCCCTGCTCACACTGCCTACCTAACTGCTCCGTTTCCATCCCTGCTCTGACTACTCCCTTCCCACCAGTGATGATAGTGGGAAGTTTCAGTTCCCAAAGATGAGGACCCTGGATTCTTGCAGTGTATGCTGCAGTTTTTCTCTCACTGCATGGCAGCTAGCAACAATAAACAATAAAGGCTCATTTTTCATATTCCAGATGTTTTCACAATTGTCCAGGCTCCTTGGGATTCAAAGCTGTAAGTACACATGGAAGGAGAATTGGTGGGTCTCCTCTCTCCAGTCTCATTTAGACCACTGAAGCAAAGGATGAATGCATCTACACAACAAAAAAAAAAGCTCCCTAAATGCATACCTGCACCTTTTGAACAGTTTGTTCATAATTGTAGCTGCCACCAGGGAGGTAGCACCTCAAAATCCTGAGTTCAAGATGAGATGTGGTGCATCTCTCTACTGGAGCAGCTGCTGGTCTTCTCACTGGGCCAGTCTTCTTGTGTTAATGCTGCCCTGATCTTTTGACAGCTGATGTGAGAAATGCTCACCCCAGTTTCATGGATTCTAGATATTTTTTTCTTCAGTTAATACCTATTTGATTCAGGTTAAGATATATATCAGGAAAGACCTCGTTGGGAAAGAACATGTTCTGGTTTTCTCTCGTATCTCTACATAGTCTCTTTATGTTTCTGTTTGGATGACCACACATTTTTGTTCTGTATAGTTTTGTCCGTTTTATGTGAAAGCTCTCTACTTTCTCGCTTTCCAAAATCTACACATAACGGTTAGCATTTGTCTTGTACTACAAGCTGAATGGGCAGTTCTGCAGCCTGCAAAGCCAGGCAGCAGTATCAATGGCTTCAGGTGAGGACAAAACTAGCTTCCTTTGATCTTCCATAACACTCTGTCCCAATTACAAGAAGCTGCTCAGAAATGAGGCCAACATGGAAGAAATAATGAAAAAGGAATAGGATAAGAAAAAGCTCAGGTACTAAATGTCCTTCATTCATAAGCCTTTCTTTTGTAAGAGAGAGCAGAAGAATCAAAGGATAAGGGCTTCTGGTATGGGTTTTTTTTTTCAGCTGGAAATTTTATATGAAGTAGAATCAGGTTCAAGCTATCCACATAAGTCAATTGCTTGATGGTAATGACTTTCCAATGAAAGTGAAACAGAACTGTGATTTCTTATGCTTCGGTGGCCTTTAGTGGTCTCTTATCCAGTCCTAAATAAATTCTTGCATGTGCATATAGACAGATTTTCATACATGCATATACAGAACCCTCAGGGGAAAAAAAACAGAGGTTTAAGTTTACTCATAAGGCCCTAATTTAACTGACAGCTCCTGGTAGACCTGAAAGGCTCATTTATATATACCTTATAAATAAATTTTAAACTTTTTCTTAAGGGTCCATTTACTTTGGTGGTCTAAAAGATATCTGTGTTGTTTCAGTGCCTTGTGTTCTCCACTGGTAATTATTTTAGCCTTGTATTATCTTTGGAAATGAGCACTCAGTCCTAATGAAGCACCTCATCAGTGAGAAGCAGAATTAATGCTATTTTTTTACTAATTACTCCAGAGACATCTTCAGCTTGTGTGTGAGAAAACAAGTAAAATCTGAATTCTCACATCTAAGATGACAACTTTTCTGTTCTTTTTGCATACCCATTTTTCTACTGAAGATTTTGTGAGAAGGTTGAAGGACAAATTAAGACACGTTGGGCATGGCTAATACAGAGTGACAGTGCTTTAATGGTCTGGTAGCTCTGCTCAAGAAGACTGCGAGGGGAGATGAGATCTTGGGAATTCAGATTCACATCTGAGAATGCAGAAGCACCTCAACTTTTGTCTGAAATTATGTACAGATTTATATGTATGTGTACATATGTATATTTAGTTGGGATGTGTTTTAAACATATCTGATAAAACATGCTGACCACACTACAGGTATGGTAAGCAGAAAAAAAAAAGAAAAGAGAAATATTTTAAGTACACAACTTTAGGAAAGAAAGGCTTCCTGTCAGCCTAACCACCCTCTTACTGTGAACTTATCCCAAAATTCTTCAATAAAGGCATGAAGACTGACTTGCAGGTTTTGGCAAAGAACTCAGTACAGGTTTTAGATATGAAAAAGAAACATTCCTTACCTCTGAAAGAATTTGTGTACCATCTCAAACATCTGTCTGCCTGTGCCAAGACAAAGATTGGCTTTTCTGTTGATAAGAAATGCATATAAAAGAGCAGGCCTAAAATAAACATGTAAGAGCACATTTAATTTTGGGGAGAATGAAAATAAAAAAAAAATCCCTCTTACAGGTGATGGGAAGAGAGATTGCTTCTAGCGAATATAAATCACACAACCTTGGCATGCTTTTTCTCAAGGCTGAGGTACTGCAGGGATGAGACAGAGCCGAGAGCAGACTACAGAGCAGCCACTGGGAGTGGTGCCACTACTGCTGCAGAAGGTGCTCCATGCTTTGCTTCACGCTATCTCCCATGCTGTTGATAATGCTGCCTCCACAGAGAACATCCTTATCCTAGCACTGAGTGTGGAAGTGCCCACACAGTTTTGGAAGACAGGCAACACTGGGAGAAAAATACGATCCTTAACTGTTTTGATAGCATAGTTTCACTGCCCTTTGGCCAGTCAGTTCCTGGTGAGCTTTCTACTGGTTTTTAGATTATTAGACAATGTTCATGAACAGAATTTCTTTCATTACTTTCATTCTCCAGTATCCACGTGCAGAACCCAGGCATCTAAGATAACACTTGGAAGCCCCTTTTACTGAAAATGTAGGAGGAGCTGAAATAAATCACCTGAGACCAAATTTAATTGGACTGCTGGGCTCGTCTCCAGATTATCATAAAGCCTCTAATGGCCAAAAGTGACAAGAAAACTGGTCACGCCTGATCTGGTAGACAACACACCCTGGTGGTGTAAAGTTCCTTTTGATCTTGATTCATTAAGCTGTTACTCCTCACCAGCACAGATAGTGTTTTCTGAAATTAATTAGATATTCTCCATTCAAACAACTGAACTTCCAGTAACCCATAAAGTCCTGGAAAACATCAGAGAACAAAATATATGCCACTAAGATGGGATCTCAGTAACACCTGAGCGTATTTGAGCCCAAATTTAGCCTAATAGTACAGTAGGGGATAGCTTTGGTCATACCTGGCCATTCAGCTGTTACACCTAAGCATTGAAAAACATTTTGCATTCTTTTGCTTTCCTCATTCAAGATCTTGAGGAGAGGCATAGCACATTTTTAGCTCTGAGACTATGCTTTCTAGTTACATCTCTGTAGATTAATAACTAATTCATAACTAGAGGCCAACATTTAACATGGTAGGAAATGTTACAAGTCCCCAAAAGTTACTTCAGGTAATGCAAACAAGCCGAGGATGAGGTTTGAGAACACGGATGCCTGTTATCCTGCTGCATTGACACAACACAGCTGGTTGCTAGGTACAGCACTATAAGAATATTTGTAGCTACAATTTATCCTATAAATATTCTCTGCAGTATTCATAACACAGCAGTCAAATGTGTCTCAGAAGGCTCTTCTGTAGTTAAGCCCAAGACATTTTCCACAGGTTTCCTCCTCTGTGATGTTACCTACTGCTGTCTGCTCTGGCAAGCTATATTCATGAAGACAGGTTACATTCCTGTGGGGGTAAAGGACAATTCTCTTTTCACTATGTGCTTGAGGGAGAAGCAGCAGAGCAAAAGCAGCTGTCCTTCACCAGCGCCCCGAAGTTCTTATGGGAAGTTGGACCCGGATGCAGTTGCTCTCTGTATTTCCTCTGCATGCTGCTACCTGGAGGAGAGTACCTAGCACATGCAGGCATCAGGAAATCTTGTCTTTGAAACCCTCTTCAAGGCTGCACAGGAATTCATGCAGAGCTGTACTTTTCAGCCTTTAGGCTAAGCATCTTTTGCTTGTGTTCTCCAAATTCAACTTGAACCTTGGATGCATATGTAGTGCACAAGAACAGCGAAGAATTTCTTTCAAATCTTCCCTGAAGACATGGCTGCAGATCCTGCTGTAGTCAGCAGGAGATCCATGGCAAATCTTTGAGAACAGTTTTTAACTTGTCATTATGAATCTGTTCAAAAATTCATTGAAATAAGAAAAGAGACTAAAGAGACTCCAGCTGTTCAGGCACAAGTGATATTCGGAGAGAAGACCTGAAAATGTAAAAGCACTTGCCCAAATGCTACCAGCAAGTATGAGGCACATCACCTCATTTCTACTATGGAGCTCCCTCAACAGGCCACGCTGCGGTTTGCCTTTTTTTTTTTTTTGGGCACACTACTTCACAGAATTAACTATTTGGTTGCAATTTAAACAATAACTCATTAACTTTATCACAAGTTGTGTATACAACTTGTAGTTGTATGTACTACAGTAAAGATCACTGTATGAGGTCATACAGGTGGGAAGGAACATCAGCAAGTCTCTGTCTTCCTGCTCAAAGCAGTGCCGGCTATGAGATCAGACCAGGTTCCTCAGGGCTTTGTCCAGATGGGTTCTTGAAAACCTCAAAGGATGCCAGCTACACAACCTGCATGGGCAAATCTGTTCAGTTGTTTGGCTCTTCTCGTGGGGAGAAATATTTTCCTTGTAATCCAGTCTTAAACCTCCTTTGTTTCAGCTTTTGTCCACTGTCTCTCCTCCTCCCACCATATGCTACTGTGAAGCTTGGCTCCACCTTACTGATAACCTCCTCAAAGGTACTGGAGGGCTGCTGTAAGGTTTTACTTCCATAAGCTATCTTTTCTCCAAGCTGAACAAACCCTGGTCGCTCAGTTTTTCCCTATAGCTCAGGTGCTCCTGCTGTCAACCGTTGCAGTGACCTTTTGTTCAACTTGTCCTGGTGTTTTGGTGTCTTTCCTAAGCTTGACACAACAGTGATCTGGATACAGTCGAAGGAGTGCTGAATAAAAGGGGAATAATTCTTCAGTCTCCTAGCTATGCTTCTATTCATACAACCCAGGAGGCTGCTGGCCTCCTTACTGTAAGGGTTATGTCCTGGGTTCAGCTGTAGCAGTTATTTTTCTCCTTCCTAGTAGGTGTGCTCCTGTTTGGCATCACAAGGAGTCCAGGAAGAGCGCCTCTGCCACTGGCAGGATAGCAAAACAAAGCCAGCTCTGCCACAAGCCCAGGATTCCCAAGTATGTCCTCTTTCTCCAGTAGTTGTGCTGGGACATAATTTGAGGATTTTAGTGAGCTGACCTGATGACAAAGGTCTGATATGCAGCAAATATTGTGGCATCCACAACTGTATTGTAAGTAATTTATTGTCATCAGCAGTGGAAAGGTTGATGTGTAACATCTCTTTCATCAGTTCTGGCACAGTTATTACTTAACCATGCACAGTGCAGAGTGGTCACAATCCTGCTGGGAACCACCATCTTGCAAAATTGCTCATTATTCTCTTGAGCATGAAGAACCTCACCAAAAGAGATTAATCAGCCTTGCACACCTGGCTTCACACAGTTTGCTTTTTTTTTCTGTCACATGAGTGCTTTGTGCAATGATTTAAGACTCTGGTAATGTTCCACTGAGAAGATACTTATCGCAGATTCCTTGTTCATATTTTTTCTGTCCAGCTTCTCATTCGTTTACAGATGTCCATGTCTGATGGATATTCCATTCTGGAGACAACAACTTCTTTCCACCCCTGGTTCATAAATCACATACATTGTGAAATTAAAGTAAACAGAGGAAAGAGCTGTAAAACTCAGTCATCTCACTCTTCCACACAGGGCAATATTGTTCCCTCTTTGACTCCAGATGATGGTAATATGATTTCCAACAGCGTGCCTGGAGCCCATGGATTTGAGCAGGGCCTCATTTGTTCAGCACATTAACTGCTCTGACCACCCAGTAAAACCGGCAGGACAAGGTCTTGGTTACTGGTGTTGGTGAAGATACGTTGTTACATTTCCAGGCAAATGGGTCGAACTCTGGTCCCACTGCCGTCATTCTCCTTTAACGGGCAAGTAGAATTCTTCTGAAGGTGAAGGGCACACAAGTAGATTTAATGCCTCTGGTTCCTTTTCAAGGTTCTATTTAGGTATTAGGACCATATTTAGACAGGCTCAAGACCTTGGGTGAGACACAGTCAGTCTAAGTAAAGCCTTACATTAAAAATAATGGATGAGTTTTTGGCAGGTGTCCAGTAGAGTCACCCAGCACCAATGCTGCTGAAAATATATTGATGTGAAAGATTTCTTTGAATTTAAGTGGAAACTGAAGGTCTGTACCTTTGTTGTGAAGAGTGGAAAACAGAGTATTCATATCTGATTCATGATGCAGTATGTGATTACTCAGGATAATTAAGCTAATTTGGAATGTTATACTCACTCCTAACATACAGTATTACGCTAATCTTCAGGATCATAGAAGGCAGCAAACCCATTTGATACTTCCAGTTATTCTGCCAGAAGCAAGATATGCCTGCAGTTGGGATCTCTTTGAAATCACCATTAAGGATGACTCCCCTGCATCATATACAGAGTGCTGGGGTGTCTGCTCACAGGCACTGTCAGATGAAGATTTTAGTTGTGATGCAGCAGAAAAGGATCTAAAGCCAACAGCCAAACCTGCACTTTGCAAAATGGAAGCGCAGGTATTAGTGTAGTCTTTGTAATTCACAACCAGTTCTGGAAGTGAAATTGCCTGGAGCACAAATGTATAAAAACACTTTGCTACTACAAATCCCACAGGAGCCTTATTCTCAGGGCTGTATGCAATTTACTCTTTACTCATTCTGTTACTTACCTTTTATTGAAGATGTGCATTCTTTTATGCAGGATACAAAGATACACAGATAACATGTTTGTAAGAAAAACTTGGCAACTTGGAGATCTTCCTGTCCTTGAATGGAAAATCCTGAAAGGTTTTTTTTTTCCTTCTGTACAGAGGGCAGCCTGCTTTATAGGAGAGGGCACTGCCCTATGCTTCTGCAATCCCATGAGTTTGATTTTTGTCTTGGTGGACCCATCAGAAGAATTTTTTGCTTTCAAGAGATAACATGTCAAGTAAATACGATATTACACTGAAAGCCAAAAGACTTGGATTCTATTTTCTATAACCCTGGAGAGCAGCATCTTGCAACCAAGTTTTCTTGGGTCAAAAGAAAATGCTGGCCCTTCAGTTACCATGTTACAAGAAGAAAAATGGTCTGAAGTAACAAGAGGCCAAAGGTCATGCAAACCTTGTCCGCAGAGCTGCATTGCAGAGCCAAGTGTCTGCAGTAATCCAGGCTGGAAATGGCCTGGACTTCCTCCTAAACACAAACTCACAACTGTGAGTTGCAGCTTAGTGTGCATTGTGACCATTTCCCACACTCATCTTGGTAACTGCAAGCCCTCCCATTATTTTTTTTTCCTTTCTGAAAATATTTCACAGTGTATCTCCAAAAATCTCCATTGTGCAGTTGAGTCTTGGCAGAGAGGTTTACTTGTGGACCTCTCATTGATTTCTCATGGACATCAGCAAAGTCTTTGCCTGGTAGGACAACTATGTGATTCAGTGAACTTGCCTAGAGTTAAAAAAGTTAAAATTCAGTGCATGATTTCAGAGAAAAGTGCGTGCCAAGTTTTCTGTAGAAGAATACATTAATCTAACAATCTTCTGCCCTTTATCATCTCCTCCTCCTGTACCATTTGTTTTCCAAACCACTCCTGTTTAATATTCAACATATTGCTTTTCTCTCATGCCTGTAATGTAATTTTTAGCACGAGATGTTTTACACATTACAAAGCTGTAAGTAATGTGACTTCTAGTAATTACAGTGCAGTGACTGAGAAACATCAGGAATTCCTGAGCTTTTGCTCCAGAACTGATGGCAGTGAGTCATCCTGTAACTTCAGATATGGAATTGCTCTCCCCCTTCTTACATGCCTGTTGCGAGGGAGAAATTGCACTTACCTCACATGACTGTTTTGGAGGATTAGGGCTTGAAAGCATCAAAGTGTGCCATGAGCCTTGTTAAGCATTGCTTAATGTGTTTATTAAGGGGCATGCACAGCCCTGGGATGTTTTTTTGTGAGACTCAGAAGGGCTGCAAAACAACAGTATTGTTTCTGAAGACCGTACTGAGCACACGCTATGCAGAGTTGACTAGCAATGTCAGTACCTGCTCGCCCAGGCAGATACTCTGATCTCCGTTTTACTGACATGAAAATTAACACCAGGGCCTCTCTTTCTTCTGTTTTAGATCCTGGCGCTCCTGTGAAACTGCCTTGTATGCCAGTTAAACTGTCACCTCCACTACCTCCAAAGAAAGTCATGATTTGCATGCCTTTAGGGGGGCCAGACCTCTCTCTCTCATCCTATTCCACACAGAAGAGCTCCCAGCAGCCTTTGACCCAGCACCATCACACTGTCCTGCCATCCCAGTTAGCAGCTCACCAGCACCAGCTCCAGTACGGCAGCCACAGCCAGCATCTGCCTTCTGGGTCCAGCACGTTGCCCATTCACCCTTCAGGGTGCCGGATGATAGAGGAACTGAACAAAACACTAGCCATGACCATGCAAAGGCTAGAAAGGTAATAGATCAACTTTTTAAATTGCATATTGATGTACAGTATTTCCTGCTAAACTCAGTATCAAATATCACCACTTGAGTTATGTTGATAGTACTTGAATGAGGCCTCTCTTCTGGGCTCTAAAAACTTCGGGACAGAGTGATTGCTGGAGAAACAAAGACAGGGAAAGAACATTTCCAGGCTTGTTTGACAAGTTTGTGGCAGAAAGGAGAAAAAGATGAAATTTCCTGAACCCTGTTGTCCTGTTCGAGAAAGTAAGTAATGCAGTCAGTGGAGAAGATTTTAATAAGACATGACTGGCTTGCAGTATATACTGCAGAGTGCATAACTTCAGAGCTCCGTTTATGTGGAGGATTGCCAAATCAAGGAAAAGAAATGGAAGATTCAGAAAAGAGTGATAAAAAACAAATGTGCCACTCAACCAGGGTATCTGATTAGTATTACCAGTTAGTTTGAACCAATCTGTGAGGACCTTCTGCAAGTCACTCAGAGGAGTTTTAATACAGTACTGTAATTATTTAAATTAACTTAAATTAAATTGTATGCTTGATCTTAAAATAAGTATTTAACCCATTCCATAGGACCTACCTTCTTAGCCATTTACATCTGGAGGAAGGTAGTGTGTTTGATCAGCCTTACCCACTTTGGGGGTCTTTTTTGTTACTGTCTACTATGAGTGTCTCTGAAGGCTGCTCCAAATAGCCTAAGTGAAGCATTTGGTATAAATGCAAGCTGTTCTCATAGATGGCAAGATCAGCAAGGTTTTGAAAGTCTCTTTTGTCTTGTAGAGGAAAATTGAGCAAGTCCCAGAATAAGGAAGGTAGTCCAAAAATTTACATATTCTATTTAGTACCAAGAGCAGCTTTGTAGCCAGCTCATTCTAGGAGTATCAGATCAACATTCTGTTAGACAGAAAGCTAAAGTATTTGGTCTGATAAGCAAAATTACTAATGATTTGCCCCAGTACCTCCTTGTGATAATGTTAACTTCATTATATTGCATAGTTGAAACTGATGTGATTAGAGATGGCAGATTATCCTTACTGCATGAAAAACAGTCAGGGGAGCAAAGTTATCCCACACTGCCAGTTTATTTTAGTATCAGATAGTGAGACCTTTGTGGTTACATCAGGGGAGCTAATGTTTCTGTATAGTGGGGAGGATTCTGTGCTGGGGAAAACTGCTAGGGCTACGAGAGAAATTCCTAGTTCTATCAATAAAATGGCTGTAGTTGTAGGACTGGAAAGAGCATCCACATTCCCTTTTACGCCAGTGATTACCCACTTACACATACATTGCCAGCAGGGCTGGTCAGGTACATCTGCATCACTCCAAAGCTTGGTGCATCAAGCACAGAGGGTAGCTGGTGTCTCCCAAAGGTTCCTTTGGGGCTACACTGCCTTTGCTATCCCCAGCATAGGTTGGATGTCTCACTGTCTAGCTCACGTGCCCAGTGCCCAGTGACATGTCTCAGAGTATGACTTCACTGTGACATATGTTGCCCTATAGCAATGAATGCTCCAATTTCTAGGCATCCATCATGTTTTATGATGTCTGCAAATACATTTGATTGATTTAAAGGAAGTAATGTTGTTTGGTTTTAACTACTAATTTGAAGCTGAAGCTATGATGCTTGTTAAAAAATGAGTAAGCAAGGATTTGTTTCCCAATATGAAGCAATTGCTTCCCTTTGAAGAAGAAAATAAGAAAAGGCTGTAGCACTGATATTTCACATTTAAAGTGAAATAAATCCTAGTTCATGATATTGTAGACAGTTGATTTTTATAGCCTTGCTGTGTTGATTAACTGTTATTTCATGAAATAAAATAGACTTCTTCAGTTATTCTCCTTGACGAAACAAATCAATAACATTTGCATTCACAAGAGAGAAAACAGGTGATGACTATTTCCTCTGCAACAGCAATTGTTATTTTCGTAGTACTTAGAGGTGAAAGGATTTCAGAGTATATAGAGGTCTGTGGAGCTGACACTTGCTGTTAAATTCTTAAATTGCCTTTTCAAGCCACATTATGATCTTAGTAAATTTGCTGACTCATCTTGAAGATTTCTGCAGATTTATAAAATACATGTATTTAACTTTTGAGAGGATTATTTGCACCAAAGGTCTCTGTTTTCTAGTATTTTTGACAGTAGCTCTTTTCCCTTAGTTTTGTAAAATCTGGATTAAACCCAGCAGAAATCATACTCCAGTATTTGTCCTTCAGCCACTTCAGCCAGCCATTTCTGCCCAGAAGTCTTGAGGGCCTGTTAAAAATGCAAAGATCCTAGATTTGCTTTCTGCTATGTAAAATTTGGTCTTGTGCTCACATCTATTGCATAGGATATGCAGTGGAATCCTGAGCTTTACCATTCCTTCCAAGATAACAGTGTACTGGGTCACTGCTGTTGGGCCAATAATCTTGATGAGATGAAAGAGCCTGACAAGTCTCTGAGGCACCTTCTGGGGAATGCTGTTTATTGGCAGTATTTATTTTTGCTGGTCTCAGTCTTTATCTCAAAAGAACCTTACAACTTCATAGAATAATTGCCATGATGCTGCAGTAATAAAACTGGCAAATCTGTTAATTTGGGAGATTATTTAGAATAGTATTTTGGTTTTAATAGGGGAGGACCATGTAGGCAAGTGCAGCTCAGATTTCTGCTCTAATGTTTTTCTGTGTATTCGGTCAGGATTTTTTTTCCTTTCCTTTGTCTAGTTTTTTTGGTCCTTGTGCAGTGAAACTCCTCGAGTCTGTTAAACTGCATTGATATTCACTGAATCCATAGCTAGTTAGTATCAATTCTGCATTTTGCCCAGTGAAGATTTCTTTACTGGGCAAAAGTAAAGACCTCACAACTTCAGTAAAGACCACACAACTCTTCTCTCTGCCAGAACTGTGAGTGTGAATAGGAACAAAGAATGAAAGACATGCCCTTTCTCTAGCAATCTGGATTTTTGCTTTCACAGATGAGGTCACTGGAATTCAGATAGTCTAACAGCATCTGAAGAATGATAGTTGATACTAGTGCGTTGCCAGCTGTTATTAGAAGCTTGCCATAGAAAAATAAGCTGTCCCTCTGTACTGGCTTAGAAGCCACAAGTTATTCTGGTGTCTTTGACCTTGAGAAAGCTACTGAGCTTCTCTGCCTCTATTTTCCCCTCTGCAGGAGTGGTTGTATGTTACTGCCTCACCTAGATCCTAGATTTAGCACATACTAATGTTAGTATCTTAAGGTACATTAAAAGCATGTAATGTCGATTCAAGTCCCAGTTGTTCTGATGACTTTAAATGGCAGTTAATTACTGGAAATCTTTTATTCAGTTTTATTACAGACATTATAGAGTATTAAGCTCATTTACACACTTTATGCATTGATTTAAAATGTTTTCTGTTACTCATAGCATCTATTCATAACCTGTTCTCAGAAGTGCAATCTGTCCCTTGTTATAAGTATGGCTATTATGACACATCATTTGTGCTGTCAGTTTGCCTCTATTTCCCTGATAAATTACCAGTGTTATGATAGATTAAGTGAAAACAGAGAAGAGTATAATTTCCATGTAAACTTTTTTCTGCAACCTCTGTTGCCAGTTTGTGCCCTACTGCATACAACTTTCCCCTTCATCCCAAAGCATATGTGCCAAGCTTAAGTAAAACTCTAGATTCAGGCATCATTTTTTACTATTTCAGAATGCATCTTAAGAGTTGGTGAAAATTTAGTAAAATCTGCCACCAAAATCTTCAGGTTTCATCCTCGTGACTGAAATGAATTTGAGAAGAAAGACCATGCCCCAAAAGCCCTGCATCACAAACAGCAGCAAAAGAGGCTTTAGAAACCTTCTTGTGCCCCTGGAACGTATCTTTAGCTTTGACTTAGGGAGATAGCTTCTGGATCTGAAACAGTCTTTTTTTCTGCCTTGCCTATGTAGTTCTCTGTCTGGTAAGGTGACAATTAATTTCAATTCCTCTGTGGTCTCTTATACACTAGCAGCTGAATCAAGGCCTCCATTTGTTCAACATATGTACAAAGAGCTGTTAAGTGGCAATATCTCACTCTTTGCAAGAATGGCATCTGTGGCAGAGCAGTGAAAAATCACTGTGTCCAAAAAGACAGTGTGTGAGACCAGTTCCTCTGGGACACTCAGCTCTGCTTCAGACTGTAGATTTATGAAATTAAATGCCCGAGACATTCCTGCCAGTGTCTTGTAAATCTTATAAAACATATTTGAGTCAGAAAACATTTATCTTCCATAAAACTTGTCAACAGAATTGCTTTTTGTCTAAACTTTATCAATGCCTAAGGATAGAAACACTTAATATTTATAGCTCTGCCTTCTATGTCTCTCACACATATGCCCATATTGTAGAAATGTATATATAATGGTTTGAAGTTTTTTCAGCTTTTTGTTTTTTAACTGATAAGTTCAGAAGAGTGTACTGTGGATCTGAAAACATGCTGATAAAAATGTAACTCTATTCTGAAATCAAAGAGCCTGGGATGACAGATGAAAAGCGTGCATTATTTTCGTGCTGGATTTTACAGGAGGGATTTCACTTTTCGATTTTATCTGTACCATGAGTCACTCATATGCTTAAATTCTGATTTTTCATTAAAATATTTTCTCACTAGAATCACTGTAAGCCATAGTGGTGTAACTCTTGCTGTATTGGTCACATAAAGATGACGCAACGGTAACTGCAAGTGCTTGTACTAGTAAGCTATGAATTGTTGAAATCTGTTGATACATTTATCTTCTTAAAACAAGTACTTGCTTAGCTGTAGCTTTGTTCTCTAATTTTGCTGCAAATGATGAAGCTAATTTAAAATGGACAGTTTGAAGGAATACTGTGGGTTTTGGTGAATAATGTTAAAAAAATTTGTGCTGTAGACCACCTGACCATGTGGGGTTTTCGCTAATGACCCAGAGGAATTTATACACAATGGGCATATCCAATGACCTTGATTTGACTTTCTTAAGAATACTGCAGTACTGCATGTATTTCATAAGTGCTTTGCTTAGACAGCTGACTTAGTCAAAAAGCTGTGGAAAAGGCTGATTTTAATCAAGAAGAACACAAAACATCAAGCAAAATGAAGGGCTTAAAATAGAAAGTAGTATTATCAAGAAAGTGAATGATTCAGAAAAATTACAATGAGATGAGAAGTTGCCTATTTCTAGATCACTAGTTCAAATAAAGCTCCTCTATGGTAATTTGTAAATCTTATTCCCATCTTTTACCTGCTTGGTAACCTAAGAAGAACCACTTTGATATCTACTACCCTATGTGCATGCCTGTAAGGAAGCACTGTAACCTACATATATCCTTCACAGGACAGGGAAGCACCAAATGGTCCTGGATGCTGAACTACTTTTTGCTCCTTTCATTTATACTCCCAGGAGGGACTTAGTGAACTTGTATTTATTTACTCTGTGTATGTGGTTTTTTTTAATTAACTGAATAGTCCAGTGGTTGTGTTCACCATTGGAAATTTGTTGTTTGGGTTTTTTTTTCCCAGTATTTTGGAGTTTGTTGTTGTTTTAGCAATGTTAACAGAATTTCACAGCATTTTAGTTTCTGTTGGAAGTTTAATTCCAGGCTTTTGAATTTCCTACCTTTCCTCTTAAAAAGAGTTACACAAAAAATAGGCTATAGAGAAAACAGATTTAAAAGTTTAACTTCATAGAACTCTTAAAGCATATCAATAAATTAAACACTGGCGGAAAGTTTTTAGTAGTGCATTTATGTTTCATTAGGAGAATTCAGCTGATGAATTTTAAAACCATCCCTGGGATAAAATTTTTTGGGTTAAACTCATTGAAGTCTAATACAAAACTTCACTAGCCAGTTCTCCATGAATCTCTCTTACTTTGTGGTACAAAACATGGACTCTCACTAAGAAAAGAGTTTCTCTGTTCAAGGCGTCCGGTAAAGGTATGCATCTTGTTGATTAGTTTGCAATAGTAAATGCTGCAATTGACAAAATTATTTCTTTGAAATGGTTTCTGCTGACTCACAAATAAACCTGAGCAGCCATGATTTTTGCCTGCCAGTCTTTCATTCTCACTTCACATCAGAAAAGCAACATGAGCTATTAGATAAAAATGGGTTAGGAAACCTGACTCTGTTCCTGACTTTTCCTTTTACTGCTTGACTTTGGTCTTTGCTTCCATATGTTCCTGTTTCCCTGCTTGTATTGAAATGTTCCTTTGTAAAGGCTTTGAAATCGACACAGAGCTAGATAATAGCAGTACCTTCCACAGCTCTTAACCTGCAGGAAACAATCGATCACACTCTATGTGACAAAAGAAATACGATGCTAGCTCCAATCCAGATTGCTCTCCAGCGTCGGCTGGAGTGAAGGAGCCAGGGCAGGAGAATGGATATTGTCACTGCAGCTCCCACAACACAGCATATAACTGTGCTGTTAGCAAACAAATCTGCCAGGTTTACATTTCTTCCTTGTTATGTTCACCAGCTCTCAGAGCCCCTTTTCTTCAGGCCCAGTTTCACGTGCTTAGTCCCCTGTGCTTCAGAGAGTTGTGCCCTTGCCTTCCCCTTAAGTCAATCAACATCTACTTGCCCAAGGAGTGGTTTTCCTCTGCCTTTCTACATTCCTCCTCTACAATCCATATCTTTCCCTCCTCCCAGTCTCTTACTCCACCTTTTGCAATCACGTGAGACATTTTCTCCCTATTGCCTGCACACCAGTGGAGAGGTCACACAGACACCAGGCTGAAGACATGCTTACCACTCTGAACAGCTGGTACAATTCTCACGAAGCCCCAAGACTGTATTTGCCATGGAACTTTAGTTCTCAGTCCCGGCTGCCAGTATTTATGCCTGTGTGCTGTCATACCTCTCCCTAGCAAGTGTTGTACCTCAATTCTAATGTGTACTCAGTTTAAATCCATTAGATGTCTTGATGGTCATGAAGATCTTTCTGTCATCATTTCTTCTCAGAAAGGAAAGACCACTGCTTTCCTACTAAATACAGTTAGAGAAGCAACTCAGTCTTTCATGGAGCTGTTTCATTATTTATTTGCTTTTCTTTCCCAACAGCTCTGGTTTACACACAGGTGACAGTGTTACAAAAACAGGACCTACGGGCCTTCCAGACATGAGACAAGTGCCAACTGTTGTGATCGAATGCGATGACAATAAAGAAAATGTGCCTCATGAAACTGACTATGAAGATTCTTCCTGCCTCTACCCAGGAAGACAGGAAGAGGAAGAAGATGAAGAGGATGATAACTCATTATTTACAAGTAAGACTCATTCCATTTTTCCTTTCTCATTTATTTAAGTTTTAGTCTGAACTCTTGATACACAAAAGAAACACAAGGACTCTGAATTTTCTTTCTTGACAGTGGCTTTTGCATCTCTCAGGGCTCAACTACATGCTGATACTTGGTAAATTAATCCAAAATAGCAACTGGTATGAATTTATAGTGATTTCCTTAATCTTCATGAATCCCTGCTGGGTAGCTCTCAGACAGAATCCAAATGACTTATATTAATTCACTTGCTAATTGACTCAGAATCACTTTCCTCAGTGTCAGTGGTGTACAGAAGCCCTGCTTTTGGCTTAAATCAAGATCAGCTCAGTAGAGTTACTTCAGGAGGATGAAATAATTACCACTAATAGAGAATCATAGCTTTTGCAATGAGTACATATTAAATAATGTCAGAATTGTAAGTTTGTACATACTTTGAAAGGGCTACAATCAGAGAACTGGGCTCAGATCAGAACTGAGTAACTGATAGCAATGTTGCAGTTTAAGTCTGGAGAGGGACTTGTGGCCCCTTCCTGACCTTTCTGAGAAAAACCCATCTCCTGCCTTGGTGTGGTGTCACAGGACTCTCCTGTGCAGACAGGATACAGTACTTTGCCTATGACAGCTGCTTATTGTCCTGCAGGTTGAGTGAAGTTTCAGGCCCCTGAATTTCTCTGAAAACTGGGAGCAGTATTCAGAACAATCAGACAACACCCTTTTTAAAATACACACAAAGAAGATTCTAAACCAGACATACTTTGTCTCCTCAGAGTCCTCTCTTATCCTGGAAGTGAAATTAAGCAGTCTTTGCGCTTAAATTAAGAAACAGAGCAGAACTGCACTATCTTGCAGTCTCCTGCCCAAAGCCCAAAACCTCTCATGGATTTGTGTATTTCTGCTTGTGTGTCTTCCCTGCGCATACTGCCTAGGAAATCAAACTTGAGCCGTGAACGGCCACTGATTTTCACAGCGTCTTTGCCACTGTTACTGCCTGAGAAGCAGTGTCAGTTAACATACATTTAGATATGTGCTGTTTCTGATTGACTTCTAATTTCTTCTAGTGCTAGCCTTGGTGTTACACTGCAAGAGAGAGACACCTCTCTCTTTCCACATGCTGTAGCTCTGCTGCCTGCCTAGATTCTGAGGTTGAATTATTCATTTCATTATGTGGTTCAGAAACACTGTTCTAGAAAAGGCTATAGATGCTCCTAGCAGTTCTGAACCAAGCCCTTCTCCACTCCCCTCTATGGAACATTATTTTAATTTTTTTTTTCTTGTATACCTGCCAAATTCAGCTTTTCTTTATTATGGTATGAATTGAGGTTATCAGAGCACCTGAAGTTACTTGATGCCCCTTTTCCTACAGTCCGTACTAGAGTAAATGAAAGCCCACTGTCAGAAGATGGTTAGTGCTTCTTTGCCTGCTGTATGCTGCAACGAATGATGAAACCTCCTTTGGCAGAGCCTCTTCTCTCTTCCACAGGCTCCCTGGCAAGGAAGATCTGCAGGCAGGACTCTTTAGCAATCAAACTAAGCAACAGGCCTTCCAAGCGAGAGCTGGAGGAAAAGAACATCCTCCCCATGCAGACTGATGAAGAGAGGCTTGAACTTAGGCAGCAGATTGGGACAAAGTTAACAAGGTAGGAGACAAACATTTTTCTAACTCTTGCTCTTGGAAATACGTGGTGGGATGCAGCTTTTTATCCCTAGTCTGTAAATATTTGAGATCTGTTTGTTCAGAGTTCATCAAAAGGAAAAGCCATGGGTGGAAGAGGGAATACATTTCTGCTCCAGTATAACTTCCCTTACAATGCCCCATTTCATTTTCCTGGGATATTCTATGGGATCTTTGGTTGCATTAAATATCAGTGTGTACTGTGTGGATTTGGTTGTTTTCAATGCACCATTTGGAAATGGTCTGCTTTGATAGCATTTTGGAGTTTAGCTGCAGGTGCCATTTGATAAGCTATTGGTTTGGCCAAAGGGCAGAGGCGTAACTTCCTCTTCTGACTGCATCTCCCATGAGTAGCTGAGTCTTTTTGTGATCCAAAATAGTTATGTCCTTTAGTACCTGCTTTTATTGGGTCAGGTTGAACAGATTTATCCTATCTAGACTCTGTTCTTCGTAACAGTGTTATTCAGCAGCTGTTCTGGTTTTCTGTATTGCATATAGAAGGGTATAGAGGGTAGCCATTAAATGTGGAAGATTTCTGTCAAGAATTATTAAACTGAGGTCAGGTAGAAATGTCTGAGAACCTTCTATGCTCCAACCATGATTTCTGTAAATATATTTAATAATTTCATGTTAGCAACTTGATGGTATGCAGAACTGGTGAATGCTGCTAGTTTCAGTCCAGTGTGACCCTGACAAAATCACAGATAGAAGACCACCAGTTTATGGTCTTGTCTGTCGCCTCTTTGGAATAAACTGACCGCATCTTTCTAGTCTGTCTGTAAGTCTTTGTGCTGGATCATGCTTAGCCTGCTCCAAAACCTGTCTAATTCCTCAGCTCTCTTGTTGAAGGGCCTCAGCAGTGACGCCCAAAGTATGAAAGATGCTGCTGCACTTTGCTGGTACTGTGATTTTTCAGCCCAGTCTTTATTCAGTCTAATACCTTGTTAGCCTGCAGCTGCACATGGAGCTCTGGGTCCTGAAGAGCAGCAAATGACAGGGTCCTGAAGAGCAGCAAATGATAGGGTCCTGGTGTTTGATTAGTTTTGATCCCTTTTGAAGCATGTGAAGAGTTGAAACTTTTGTCTGCTAGTGTATCCTACTATGCACTGCTTGACCTTGAAATGACATTGGACAGGATTTCCATTGTGTTCTCCATTTGCCTAAATTACTGAGGTCTGGCAGGAATTTTACAGCTCTGTCTGATGAAGGCAAATAGTGTCACCTGCAGACATTGATTCTGCACAGCTCACTGTGCCCCAGGTGCTTTTTATGATAAATGTTTTATATCTCACCTCTCAAACCTGCTTCTCCCCCATTAAAGAATGTTTCTTCAGCATATCTCTTTTTAACAGGAAAACTAATTTTGGCAATACCCAGAATCCTTCCTGTGTAAGCCCCATATTCTTACAGTGTCATTCTTTGTTCCCACAATTGCATCTCTGCTCATTCAATCTGAGGTATAATACTTGATCTTGTCTTCTGATATGGCTAGGATTGAGGGGCAATCACAAATACTTCAAATAATTAAACCTGTGTATGTACAAGATCAAAAAATAGCTGAGCCACTGCTATTTCATTCCCAGTTTATACCAGTGTAACATTACTGAAATGGATAGAATTTCATAAGCCTTATCTGGAATAATATAGTTGCCAGTCTGACCTTTTAGTTACTAGTATTTACAACTTAGTAGCTCATCCTTTTGAGTAGTTAAAACCAATCAAGAAGTATTAACAGCAAATAATTTTCCTCATCTCTAATATGCAAAAAGCCACAGGCTTCAGCAGCAAAAAGGAAGGTACCTGTCTTACCAGTGCTTTGTATCTAAATCTGATGTATCCACGTGCACAGACCGATGAATATTGGATTGAAGTAGAGAGCATAGTTTCAGTTTGGACAGTATTTCTTTATTCTCTAGACTTCATTACTGAATCAATCCATCCTTTGCTCAGTAATTGTCACACAGTGATGCAGATGCCAAGCAAAATTAAAGTTGCGAAGCATTTATAGTCCTTAGAGAAGATGCTAGATGCAGACTATAATTGCAGCTGGCAATTTTGGATTTCAGAGGGATTTGTAATGTTCCACCAATGGTCCTCTATGGTTTAAAATAGCCAGCCAATGAAATCACATATGCTACTTACAGAAGTAAAAAATGCGGAATAAAAACTTCAGCAAATAATTATTGTCTGTAATGGATCCATTAATTTTCACCGAGGTCTGATGAGGATACTTCAGTATTTATGCATAATCCTCACAGTATCTAGTTTGGGAGAGCTCATTGGCTGCCACATTTGGCAGATCAGAATTTAATACTATAAAGAGACCATAATTTGTAAAGATGGTTATAGCCAGACATATTGAGAGACTGACCATTGACATATTGTGGGGGACCAAAATCATCCCAGGTATAATTCCTCCGGCTTTATTAGAGTTGCACCAGGAATTAATTTGTCTCAGAACTATTTGTTCAGATCCTATTCAAACGCAGCTTGGAAGCTCTGAACCTCCAGTTAGTCCCAGAAAATTGTTATGACTTTATTATCGCCTCCACCAACTGGTAGAGAGAGACTCTAGAGCAGACTTCACCACGTTGCTTGTTTCCCATACTGAGAGACTAGTGCTTGACTTAACACCAAACCAGTTGAAAGAGTGAGGCTGCAGAAACTATATCCTATAGCAAGAGCTGTCCTGCTATACACATGAATATTGGCTCAGTCGTGGGACAAATTACAACCTTTGTGCCTATCATAGAAACACTTCACATGAATGTAATGCTTCTCTGGTGTGTATCCTGTGTCATGGCTCAGCACATGTACATTCAAGCAAAATGGAACTTTTTTGCCCAAGATGGCAGCATACATCCTAGCAATGGCAAGAGATCCCACATCACATGAATACCAGCCATATGAATAGGCCCCTGCACCATAGCCTTTTTCTGGGCGGTCTTTACACAGCAATTACAGCAACTAACTAGAAGACCTCCTCCTCTAACCAAACCAGAATGGACTACTCAAAAATATGATACCTACAACCAAGGGGCAAAAATAGAGTTAAAATGCAGAACTTACAGCTTGTAACTATATGTGACTTGGGGATAGGAAATGGATCCTGGAGGCTATGTTCTTGGCTGCTGAAAACCATTACAACTCTGTTAACTTCTACTCTGAAATGCAGACCTGTGCTAAGTAAATTTTTAAATGGGTATGGTTTTCTTGCTTTGTTTTTTCTGCCTGCTCAGCTTTTCCCAGTCTCCTCCTCCGTTTTATCCCTCTGGTGCCTGCATAGCTCCCCAGCTGCTCAAGAAATGCATGTAAACAGGAAAAGCCAGAACACTGAAAGTTAACCGGCAGAGGGAAAAGACAGACTTTTGCTTTCTGCCTGTCTCTCTGGATGTGTTGAACCTGCTGGGAAGCAGTGGTTGCCTGGTTATTCAGGCCAGAGCCAGGGACCAGGAGGACCTGGATATAGCTTTCAATGGCTATCTGGGTGAGAGGAGTGTGGCATATCTAGGCTATGATTGTGAAGCAAGGACTCAGACAGGCTCTGGATCTGAGCTTGGAGGTTCTCCTAGGGGCAGTGTCAGAAGCCCCTGGTGAGGAAGAAGAGGACCAGTACTGATGGGTGATGCACAGCAGAGCTGCCTGTCTCCCAAAGACTGCAGGACCATCTCCAGGTACTGAAACAGGTGCTTCAGTGCTGGTCCTTGCACTCCTGTTTCACCAAGGAATCATAATGGTGGTCATGAGAGATCACACAGACTTCCTTAATCAATATATTATTTATTCTGGTAAGCACTAGAGCCCTTTAGAGAAAATGTATCTATGTATTTCTGCATAGCTATACACTACACCGTACTTTGCTGAGGACTTTGCACTCCTTTGAACTAGGAACACCTGGCTTTGAGTGACTTTTGCAAAGTCTTCCCCATACCTTGAGACAACATATCTTTAGACTATTGGCTGATCTGCCACACATCCTACTAGAGGGGCTTTCTAAAACACTCAAGTCTTTCTTGAGTCTCTTATCCCCCCAAGGCTAGTGAAGGTGCTCATTAGTAGTTAGATACAGGAGTATTAAAGCTGAGATTTGGGTCCACTGCCTCTCAAAAAAGCACGGCAGTGTCCTTTTCTGTTTTCCCTGGATTGTTGCCATCCTGTCTTTCTCCACCTGCTGGAATAGGATGAGCTAATCATGCAAAATATGATCACATTGATAATAATTGGTGTTAAGGGAACTTCATGATGTTCACAGTTTTATTACTGGTCAGCATGATGTCTCTTTCATCAGCACACTCCTACCCACCTTGGGGCAGAGGGCAGGCTGCCTGCAGGTGAGGCAGGGGAGATACACAAAGGCTGTCCACAGGTTAGCAGTGCAGGTCAAGGGACTGCTACCCATCACTGACAGGTACCAGAGGCAACTCATTAACGTTTTGCAGCCCTCTAAGATTTAGTGCTGTGCTGCTGCCAAAAGCTGTCAATTGTAGGAGTCACATTTAACCCAAGACCATGCCCAGTATGAAAGCAGAGAGAGATGAGTTGGGGGAGCAGCCCTCTGCACATTAAATAATTACATAGAAAACAATTCAATTAGTAACAAACAAGAAAGTAATTTCTTGCAGTGTCCACACACTACCTTTTGCCTTTCATGTGACTGACCGATGGACAACCCAGCGTTCAACTGAATCTTTGAGTATGTCACTGGGTGTGCTCTGCTGTCTTTAAAGCAGTGAATCAATGGCAGGCTCCCCTTTCAGATATACAGTAGTGCTCTGCTTTTTGTTTTTATAGCCCTAGATTTATTCACTACAGTTCCTTATGGGATGCTGTCCTTACAGCAGCAAGTGGAAAAATCTTCATCTGAAGCAATATAAATAGTGGATTGCACGTATCATGAGGCAAAGGATAGGAAGTATGAAAGTAGATCACAGAGGCACTGTGTTCATATGGCTGTAAATTTGTACA